TTTTTTGAAAATCTAAAAATGCAGAAAGTCTCCTGTGAGGGGTAGGTTTAGGGGTAGGGTTGGTGTAGGGCAATAGAATATACGGTCTGTACAGTATAAAAACCATTACGCCTATGGAGAGTCCCCACAAGGATAGCAAGCCAGACATGTGTGTGTGTGTGTGTGTGAGAGAGTGTGTGAGTTGATCGGTTTGCTCATTGTTACATTTTGAATTCTCCTTTCATCATTTGCAATGTTTCAAGTTGCATTTTTAGTGAAAGCACACATGGACTTTTTTTTGCAGGTTTTGCAGCCAAAAAATAAGGTAACTTTATTTCGATAGTCCACTTTAGACATTCTATTAACAGTAAGTAACTTTGCAACTACATTGCAACTAGCAGTTAGTAGAGTATTAGTAGACTGTCTGCTTAATATCTTCTAACACTTTCTTTGTCAACTTATTCTACTAACCCTAAACCTACCCTAACAGTCCACTCTGAGAGTTAGTAGACATGTAGATGCAGATTAATTAGAATTAGTTGACATGTAGTTACAAAGTTACTTATAGTTAGTAGAATGTCTAAAGTGGACTATCGAAATAAAGTGTAAATAAGAATAACAATGAAGTGACTAAAGTTACATTTTTTTAAATGTTAAAAAATATATTTTTAAAAGCTAGTTCATGCATTCATGACCTCTAGACTGGACTATTGTAATGCACTGCTAGCTGGTTGTCCTGCATCTTCAATAAACAAGCTACAGACAGTCCAAAATGCAGCGGCTAGAGTCCTTACCAGGTCAAGAAAATATGATCATATTACCCCAATTTTACAGTCTCTGCACTGGCTACCTGTTAAGTTCTGTATCAGTTACAAAATATTATTACTTGCCTATAAGGCCCTTAATGGGTTAGCTCCTGCGTACACTCCGCACAAACACAAACTTTTTTCTAGGCTAACATTAGATTGAGCTGCCATGTAAAGTTGCTACTACATACAGTATATATATATATATATATTCTAGTTTGACTTTTCTTTTGCTCTGACGACGTGACGTCAAATGTGTGAGCTGCGCTCCTGTCTGTTTCTCAATATGCATTCTTAATGAAGCTTTTGAAGATTTTTTTAAAATGCATGAACTTATGAATTGAGAGTTTAATGACATTTTTAAGCATTTTAATTTACATTAAATAATGATCTGTTAATCATTAGTAAATTTTTAATAAGTACATAAATAAACATGTACATTATCTCATATTACTAGCTGTGAACATGTTAACTAACGATGTGTTAAGCATTATATAATGTTTGTTAAGGTTTTATTAATGAAAGTTATTATAAAGTGTTGCCTGATTTTTCAATAAACATGCATAAATGTTATTTTCTCAAAAATATGAATATGTATATATATGCTGCTCAGATATTATTGTAGCACAGTGTAATCTGACTTTATCCATTAATGTTTATAAACAACTGGGGGGGGAAATGCTAGGGCATGTCATAACTTCTGCCGAGGCCCAAAAACCCCCTCAGGCCCCAGAGGGTTAACAACACACCTTCTCCCGAACACCTGTTGGGTAGAGCTGGTAAAGGATGGCCCAGACTTAGGTAAGACAAAAAACGTAGCTGGTAACATAGCAGAGAGCAAGTGGAGACTCTTTATGCAACAGTCTGGGGGTTAATAGGGGCACTGAAGGTTCACAATAGGCCGGTGAGGGACAAGGAAAAAGATCATGAAGGCAGAAAGTAAATAAGTAAAATGTTCACTCAAATGGGAACTAAAACAAACATATTAATGCATCGCATATGATAATTTCAAATCGCCTCTCCTATTTCTTTGCTGCCAGCCTGGAGCTGTGATTTTAATGACAATAACACTTTTTTTTTTGCATGTCATGTTAACATTGTAGCTTTATTTGTTTTATCAGAACATGAACACTACATCAATAAAGGGTACACAGCACTGATACAAACTACTTCATGATTTATTGTCACGGTTTATTGTATATTTAAC